TTTTTTTTTTTTTGCACTTTCATTATGAACTTATTAAATTACACCCCAGCAAGTGCTGTGCACCCACGGACTGCACGAGTTTCCGGGGAGAACTGACATTCCCAACATGCTATTATTTCCCAGTCAACCCTAACTTATATATGAACATACATGGTCGAAGTAACTGAGTAACTTTATTCAGCTCTACGCTGCGTGACCTTGTGACAGTTTCAGCAGTTGTGCGACAGTAGGGAGCCTGAACACGGTGTGGTGGTCTGGATCTGGGTGGAGTTAAGGATCCGTGTCACGCACACTGACAACTGGGAAGCACACACACAACAAACAGGTGTCTTCCTCCTCTTTCAGACGCACAGTCACACTTTCGGGGGGCCTCCTGTCCGCACACTGAACGCTCCTCTTTCCTTTATCTAACTTTTAAAACTCCCCGGAAATCATTTCGAAACACAGCTTTCACACAATGCACGCGGCACAGAAAGACACCACCTTCACCAAGATCTTTGTGGGAGGTCTTCCTTATCACACAACCGACTCAAGTCTGAGAAAATACTTCGAGGTGTTTGGAGAAATCGAAGAGGCCGTTGTTATCACTGACCGGCAGACGGGCAAATCCAGAGGTTATGGATTCGTAAGTAAATCTTGTAATTATATAACGATCCGGTCAGCTGAACAAGTCAAGTAGAATGCGCTGTTTCGCGTGCAGGAGTATCATCTCATGGAAAACGCGTTGTCCTAATTTAGGTGACCATGGCAGACCGGGCCTCTGCCGACCGAGCCTGCAAGGACCCCAACCCCATAATAGATGGAAGGAAAGCCAATGTGAACCTGGCGTATCTTGGGGCCAAACCCAGGGTCATTCAGCCAGGTGAGGGACTGGACCTCAGTTTTGTTTTTCTTTTCTTTTACAATCGAATATAAAAAGAACTAAACTAAATTAAGCTAATTAAAGTTTATGGAAACAAATCTAAGAAAACTTGTAGGTATTTTTCTTCCTGGGTTATTTTTATTTTAAAGATTTTAAACAAATGTTTCACAATGGTCTGTATCAACTCCAGGCTTTGCATTTGGTGTGCCTCAGATCCATCCAGCATTCATCCAGAGACCTTACGGGTATGTGAAGCTACATTTTGTTTCTGTCACAAAAATCTGTCTCTATTAGAAATGCCCTTGACTATATTTTTTTCATTATTATTGTTTTAAACGTGTATTTATTATTGCCTCCATCTGTTTCACCCTGACTGATGACATGTGAGTGTACATGTGTGCCCCTCTGCTTGAGGTTGATTGTGAAGGAAGTGAGCGTTTGTCCCCAGCCACTGCAGGACTTGTCTTCATGTTGTCTATTTCTCTCTGATCTGACAGGGTCGGTAACGGTTAAAATAGCTGATGAAGTGACATGATGATTTGAGGAATAGCTGAGTCTGCATTGGGCAGAGCGCTAAAGTGTTACCTGTATACTCTGACATACACAAACGAACAGAAATGGTGACTAGATGCATGGACATCTTCTGCTGTTGTTGTTTTCTTTGATGATTTTTTTTTTCAGTTTTCCATAGTACATAGATTGGTGTGTGCCTTGTTTTCAGTATGATGTGGCGTTCAGCTTAACTGTGTGCTTACTTCTACTTGCAGTGGGGGATGTGGGGCGTTCAGAAGGGGATTTTTTCATACAGACTTTTCCAGTCATCATAGGGAGTTATAACTCTGCGATGGGGTGTTGATTCTTTTTCCCGTTTTAATGATTGTGCTTTAGCCTGTGTTTTTGTTTATTTATTCCTGGTTTCTGGTTAACATGAAGTTCACTGTGTTTTGTTGTCAAAAGGGGTTGGGGTTGACGATCACTCAGTGTGTTAATTTCAAATTCAATCCCCGGCAACAAAACAAACACTGGCTTGCATGTGGGAGTTCATTTTCTGTTTCCTTACCCATGATGCTGTGTTTTGTTTTGTTTTTTTTATTGTTTTTTTTTTTTTTTCAATTAACTTACTGCTTTCATTTGTAGCTTACATCTACAGGTACATATACTGAACATTTTCTTTCTGATCAGTCACAAATATTCAGTGTTTTTTTTTTTTTTTTTGCCATCACTCAAGTGGTGTGTATGAGTGTGTTCGATTGCCTCCCTCTTTGCAGAAAGGCTGTGCTTTGGTGAAGTAAGTTATTTTTTTTAACAAAAAGGTTTCAAATTAAAGCTGGATCTCTCTGCTGAAATTTTAGTGTTATGAATTCATTATTTTAGCTGTGACACATGAGTTTAGGTGTGCTCATATAGTCCCTGCAATATAGGGTGAAGACAAGAGCTCTTAGCTCGTCTCTTAGGCAGCAGCTGTTGGCTACAGTGATCCGCATGGCCTCTCAAATTCAGATGGAAAAAAGGGAGTCACTCAGCAGCGCTGTTAATAATGTATGGCAGAGACGGAGCCGCTCGGCTGCGGACGACAGGTGGGACGAGCCATGCGCCCATGAGGCGTTTTGGTTATGTGCTGGGGATTACCCATGTGCCCTGGTGATTTACAATGCACCTTTATTTAGCTCTCCACTTGCAGGACGACAAAACCTCCATGCCCTCCTTTCAGTAGTCACACTTAAAGTCAGCTGTGACCTTTACAGCATTTAAACACTTTGTAGTAAAACCAAGTTGCGTCACAAAGCGAGGATACCAGCGTGATGGCTTCTGTCTTGTCAAGTTGAAAGCTGTTAAAGTAATTAGACGGGTCACGCTCAAAAATAAGCATTGGGAGTTTTCTGGAATCGATGTGCCTCTATAAGACAAAAGAGTTAGCCTTTGTTTCGCCTCCCATTTTCACTTATCAGTGGGGACACCTTCAGTCTGATCGTAGTGAGGTGTAGGCAGTTGTTGAGGAGAGCTCTGCCATGTGTCACTGAAGGAGAAGATCAGCTTGTCCTTTTGCGATGACAAGAGGAGCAAAAATAGCATGCAGCCAGCCTCCCTTGTCACTCAAGTTGGCCGTGCGTGTGTATTTGCGCGGGGTGGTGGTATGTCTGGAAGGGTAGAAGAGGTGCACGTGTCAGTGGATAAATATACTTTACACCTGCTCCTCTGTGTATTTGGTTAGTGTGACTCTGACAGAAGTTTAAAGTGGAGGCAAGTTTACCCAGATACAAAGGTTGTATGTTTCCATCATCATCAAATGGAGATGTCCCTTTATTACACAGTCTTGTTTATTTCTTTTTCAAACAGCCATCTGCACAACATGATACAGCTAAGCACCTACTTTTGATAAGATGCTGTATGGTTACTTTAACAGCTACGTGCAAAACAGTCATTTTTCTCTTTTTCTTTTGCGTTTAAGGACCTATTAACATGTGTGGGCATGCTTGTATGTGTGGTGTTGGTGTTGCAGTATGTGGGCAGAACCATGTCCATTTCTCGAACTGATATGTTGTGTTTTTGCGATAAGCTCGCATTTTGTCAAATATGGTTTTCAGTGAAGCGTTGGGGTGCAGAGCTTGGCTATGTCTTCTTTTAATGCCTCACTGTGTTTCAGATTCGGGTGCTTTTTGAAATTTAAAGCTACGCTTGTGTTTCTTTGTGGTTTTTGCTGCTTTTTAACGTTTCATTTCTAGGTAGGGTTTTTATTTTTTCCGTTAATGAATGGATTTGCTGTGTTCTGAGGACTGGACTGACATATTTGGCACCTGCTTTTCAGTTTTCCAGCGTTGGAAAGATGACTGACTGTGGCTCTGTTCTGACCCTGTGCATCTTTGTGTCCTACAGGATCCCAGCTCATTATGTCTTCCCTCAAGCCTTTGTCCAACCCAGCGTGGTGATCCCTCATGTACAACCGTCTGCGGCTACAGCAACAGCTGCTGCTGCCACTTCCCCATACCTTGACTATACTGGAGCAGCTTATGCCCAGTACTCTGCAGCTGCTGCGACTGCTGCTGCTGCAGCTGCTGCCTATGAGCAGTATCCGTACGCAGCTTCACCAGCACCGACGAGCTACATGACTACAGCGGGGTATGGGTACGCTGTCCAGCAGCCGCTTGCCACCGCTGCCACCCCAGGAGCAGCAGCAGCTGCTGCGGCCTTCAGTCAGTATCAGCCTCAGCAGCTCCAGACAGATCGCATGCAGTAAAACCTTTAAGACTACCTTACAGAAAGAAAAGAAGGGGAGGTGAGCTCTTTCCACGAAGAGGGTGAAGGGAGGAGATGCAGACAGATTGAGGCTGATTTAAAAAGAAAAGAAAGGTTGTCACTTCCAGGTTTTAACTAAGCAGAACCTCTACCAAAGAGCGAGAAGACAATGTTGAGACAAGTGAGGAATGTATATTTTATTCAAGTGAGATCAGTATTGGATATAAATGAATATTTAATATTTATTCAGCAGTAAAAAATTTGTCAGGTTAACTGAAGTTGACTCGCTGGACATCAAGACAGCTGTTGCTGAGTTTTGTATATATGTTGCAGGGGTAAGTCCAAAGTGCATTCATGTCTTATGATCAGATTTCTTCCACGCTAATTTAAAAATCAGCGATAACACCTGGCGACAGTATGTTACACCTTCATGCAGTTCTCAGTATTGAAATAGTTTCGGACCATTTTTTTCTTTTTGTTTCACAAAGCTATCCAGGCACTGATGGAAACGTCAGTGTTTATTAAGACTTTATATATATATATACACACACATATATATTATTGTTTGGAGTGAGGTAGATTAGAGACCCTTGGGAAAAGAAATCCCTTTTAAAAAGTATTTTTTTTCTGCGGTACATAAGACAAAATGCTCTGGTGACAGCTGAAGCTGGTAAAAGCACTCGCGCGTCTTCCCTTTTAATCACTCAAGTATGTTCAGCTAAAGGGAAGAAACGCTGTTGAATGTGAATCTTTCATTTTCATAAAATGTTTCATCGTGTGTTTAAATTATGCTATTTATGTATTTATTATGGAGCCTTACAGCAATAAACCCTTTGTTTTCATATGTTAGTATAAAAGTCTACTGTGGAACATGTCCATGTGTGCTGCTGCATTTCTCATGATCAAGAGCATATGATGGATGTGAACGCTCGGCTTTGCAAAGCTGTCGTCTGTATAAAGAACAAATGATGAGTGGAAAGGTAGCAGTAACTTTAAAGTGTTTCTTTTTTTCTATACTGTTCTGTTGTTTTTATGTTGTCTAATAGATTAATAGCTCTTTAATGTCACTTTTGATACTTGACTAATTTGATAACTGAGAGGCTGTTTTTAAAATTGATCACATTTTATGTCTTTTGACATTAAAGGTTTTCTGATGCAAGAGCGACAGCTGTTGACCTTGTAATGCATGACTCAACTATACAGATATTTTATTTGGGAAATAAATCAAAATTTACCTTCAACTGTTTCTGTGTTCTTGTTTAATTGTTTGGCAGTATGAAAGAAGATTCTCCAGGTTTCTAAAAGGACGTTTAAAGCTGTTCTTTGGATGTTGGCTGCCTTTTGCTCTGTTCTCCATCAAGATGACTGTGTTTTAGGGATAGCTGTAAACACTCGCTGTTATATCTCTCTCCTGACCTCTTCCATTCATACCGATGATGATTTGAACCCAAAACCTTCACCTTTGGATTCATCACTCCATAAAATGTGTCCTCACTCATGTTCAGGGCTGACAATCCTTAAGAATGGCGTCTTGACAGCCACCTTCCTCTGAGACCATTTTTGATGAGGCTTCAGTGAACAGCAGATGGAACCGCTTATAGGTCAGGTTCTGTGTCAGGTCTAATAAACGATTTTTCTCTAATATCTCTCGGTTTTTCTTACCAAAGCTGCTGCCTCCTGACACCTGCTGGTTAATGTGAGTATTGCACACCATTGAGTCGTGACACCTTGAGCTCTGTGGTTATGTTTTCCCACGAACGCCTGTCTCACATCGAGCACATTACTTTCAATTTTACTCACACGTTGGGCGGAGCTGAAGGCCAGCGGCACTGCCAGGCCTGACGCATTCAAGCCATATCAAAATTACTTAAGGAGGTTCTTTGATTTGTTTTTAATTTTAAGATTTGCTAAAGCATTTATGCACACACTATACGTTGAATACCAATGACATAGGGGGCGAAATCTTCTCTTAAAAAAATGCTGGTTAATCACGTGAAAGTTAAGCGAACATGACCTGACATCGGTCAAAGTAACTCATTTAAAATAAATTTAAACATGGCTTAGTTGATATCGAGTTTTGGTGTTTATGTGACGTATTTAAAAAAAACTATACTTTCTTTACGGAAAGAAAAAGCTCGCAAATCATTGCGGTGAGAACATCGGAATCACCTGTCCCATTTCTCCCATGTTTCGTGAACGCATTCCGTCTGTCGAGCGCGTTAAGAGGAAGTCGTTCTTTAGCAATCACAGTGCCTTAAAATTCAAAAAACCTGCAAAACGACACCCACAAATGATTCAAAGGGAAGCCATTTGGAACTGAAACGTTTCTTCCCAGCACTGTGAGTAGCATTTAGAGACTTCAGCTATCATAACTGTTGATCTCTGCTTCCTAGCCTGCCTTTTTTTTTTTTAAAGAAAAACATGTCTATATTATGTTAATCAATTTAACAGAAAAAAAACTCACATGCTAATTCGTTCTTTGTCAGAAATATGACATGTATTCCCATGTCTTATTTTAATTCAGAGGGCAGAATACGTGAGCTAAAGGGTCGTTTCGTGGATGAAAGTCAGATTTGTGGCCTATTTCTTTTATCCTGTAAACCTCGCGATTCTCGGGATGTTTCAAGCGGTGCCGATTCTTTTTTTTCCGACCCTGGTGTCAAGTGAGCTCCACATGTGGACTCGTGCTAGCGGCAGAAGCACTGACATTATGTACAGTGGTTACAAAACGCTTGTTTTAATTGAGATATCGGTGTTTGTGGGAAAACAATAGGTACCGGAAGTAACCGCTTCCACGTGACTTCTGTATCGCTGCGTGTGTATGTGTATACTCGCTGCCAACATTATCTGTCAAGTAGCATATTTGTTGTTCTTCTTTGTATTTTATGCTTTTCAGAGGTTATCTCGTATCCCTGCGCACCGGACGGTATCTGCTCCTGATCTAAGGCGGAGATGACTACCGAGAAGACTGAATACACTCCCGTGGTGGTGGGAGCATCTCAGCCACCTCTCCCCGGGCAGCCAGCATTTCCCGTTGCCTTTGGCACGAACGTGCCGGGTCCAAGTACGCTCGAGGGCCACGTACCTGGTGCTGGTGTCCATCCCTTCCCTCCACCGACTGCGTTTGCACCCGGTGTCCCGGGAGATTTCGGAATGGCCGTGAACCCCAACCAAGGACAGTCAGGATTCGCCAACCCATCATATCCTGCATATCCTCCACCAGCATATGGCTTTAATGAAAATATCGCAGGTGGGTGTTTGAAACACTGCCACTTTTTTTTTTCTTTTAACTTTGTTCTCAGTTTGTCATTGCCATTGCAGGAGAAGTTTTCCATAATGAGGATCCACCAGCTTTTCATGAGAATCAAGAGTTTGATTTTGGATTGGATAACAAGACCATACGACGAGCGTTTATACGAAAGGTAAGAAGATGCTTCGGTTATTTTGAGCCACATATATTTGTAATATTTTCATCAAGTATCTTTGAAATAATCAGCAGGGTTATGTTACTTAAAGCTGAAACAAATGACTAAAACTAATATTTCCTACTTGGTAGGGTCAAACAGATACTTCAGTACAAACAAGATATTTACCTTGTTTATTATTTACAAATGTGTGTTCACTTTTCCCTACAGGTATTCTTGGTGTTAACCGCTCAGCTCATGGTGACATTCGCATTCGTGGCTGTTTTCACCTTTGTGGAACAGGTCAAGGTGTTTGTAGCGGCGAACATGTGGACATATTTGGTGTCCTACATTGTGTTCTTTGTGTCCATTTGCGTGATCAGCTGCTGTGGAAATGTTCGTCGTAGACACCCTTGGAACCTGGTTGCACTGGTAAGCCAGGGGGTGTTTTCATCACTGTGTAGATTTTGGGGAAGGAAATCCTACTTGCACTTATGTAACTCCTTCTTTCAAAAACTGAGTTGGTTAATTTATAAGAAGTCGAGGGGTCGGGCAGCTTTTGTCCTAAAGTGTTGACATTTTGTACTTGAGGTTTACAGTAAAAAGTTGTGTAACTTTAAAATCATCTGTGATTTATCTGCCCGCTGATGTACTGTGCTTGTCTTCTTTACAGTCCATTTTGACTCTAAGTATGTCCTACATGGTGGGAATGATCGCCAGCTTCCATGAAACCGATTCGGTGATCATGGCTGTGGGCATCACAGCAATTGTGTGCTTCACGGTGGTCATCTTCTCTCTGCAGGTTTGTACCTGTAGATCTCTGCCTCTGGTCTACATGTTGAGTGCGTTAATCATTCTTCAATATGTAAATAATCATAGGTTTTTCTTCTTCCAACAGACCAAGTATGACTTTACTTCCTGTTACGGGGTACTTTTCGTCTGTTTAATTGTCTTGATCGTCTTTGGCTTCCTCTGCATCTTCATCCGTGACAAAATCCTGCATATTGTCTATGCTGGACTGGGAGCATTACTCTTCACCTGTGTAAGTCCTTAAACAAACTCGTCACTACTGCTAGGTCGGATTTGTGCGAAATTTTGTGTTGGTGCTTTTATTTTGTGATGCTGTAACCTAATCTAAATTGGTCACACATCAAAACAACAGTAATCAGCTGACATTTGTTTAGGGTCTTTCTTTAGAGTTCAGGGTTTATTCATGTACCTTGTGGCTGAATTTCATACAGATGCTTTTCACAGAAGTCTGGTCAGTGGTTATAAGAAGGAGCAGACAGTCACAGAAAATAAGGAAGAAAGAAATGAACAAGACAGACTTTACGAAACACCTGTCTTCAACCCAGACTTGCCACAGCACCCCAGGCAGCATTAAAGATGTAAACATTCGGTGTGACAGCAGTGTTTGTTTTCAGAAACATTACCATCACAGAACAGCTTTTTAATAATTAAAGGACTACACTCACCAGACACTGTTAGCTGTACCAGGCTAGATCCCGTTTTGCTCTCAGAACTCTAATTCTACATGGCAGGATGGATCCATGCTTTTTTATAATTTACACCAAATTCTGACCTTGCACCCGGTGTGGTCTTCTGCTGCTGTAGCCCATCTGCCAAGGTTCCACCCATTCTGGTGCTCATTTTAGCTGTAGCTACATATTCCTGCCTTGTTATTGGCTAATTAGATATTTGCTTTAACAAGCAGTTAAACCAGTATACCCAGTGAAGTGACCGGTGAGTGTACATTTAAACGAATGGCATGTTGAGTCTGGTTGGAAAGGGAATAAAGTGAAAGTGAATAACAGAGTGGTGGTTTCGCAGAGACACATTATTGAAGCTTTAAAGGTTATTTGAATGTTCATGTGGACAAGCAAAATGAAACCAACCTATCTCCGTAGCTTGATAGTGGCGCTAACTGTAATTTGGATAATGGAAACTGGAACTAATGTTGCACCACACATGAACAGAAGTCAGATCTTTATATATAAATTTTACTTCTTTTTTTTTTTTTTCCTGTTATTTATTGCTGAAAATCTTTGACTGTATTAAATTTGTGTGTTGCAGTTCTTGGCTGTGGACACTCAGATGCTTCTTGGCAACAAGGAACTGGCCCTGAGTCCCGAGGAATACGTCTTTGCTGCTCTAAACCTGTACACAGACATCATCAACATCTTCCTCTACATTCTCGCCATCATTGGCAGAGCCAGAGGAGGCTGAGCAAAGGGAGCGACAATCAAAACTGTTTTCTGTTCAAACACAGAAGCGAATTCTGATAATGTTGATTTTTGCTTTGCTTTGTAGTGTGTATTCGTTACATAGTTGAAGATTGCTTTTGCTTCACCCAGTAAATGTAGTTTTTGTATGATGCTATGTAGTGTAAGTAGGACCACATAGCCTCCAGCTTAGAGATTGCTACAGTTTTCTGCAGTATATGTACAAAACTTGTATTTTGGTTTAGAAAATTGTATCCTATGCCAAACAAAACCATTAAAAAGGACAAAGGTTTGCCAAAATGATCCCAAGGTTTTTTCTTTTTGTTTTGGTGGGTTTTTTTTGTTTGTTTTTTTTACCAGGAGGAGTTTTAATTAGCCAGAAGAATGCTTTGTTGATATCTAGTCTCATTAGCATGTGGACTTTGGGATTGTTTTGTCAAATTTTTGTTTGCTGGGATCAAAAGTGAATCTTTAATGCTTAACCTAAAAAAAAAAAAGCAGAAATAAGAAGGGCTAAAATGTGCAGTAGATGAAACCGTAACTGCAGCCAAACCTAAATATAAATGTATGCGACTCCATGACAGCTAGGCAAGATTAATCCAATGATGAAACCTT